AAAAAAAAAAAAAAAAGGAGAATGGGTTTGCACAGAGCCAATGGAGTTCTGAGACTTTTAGTCATTCTTCCGTCTTACCACTCTTGTGTGTGTGGTTCAGCACACACAATGAGGAGGCCTCTTTTTAGCTCATTATTTCTTTGCCTCCAAAACCTGCTTCTTTCTCAGTGTCCCCATCTCAGTTATCGGCACCAGATTGTTCAGATCAGAACCTTTCCATCACCCCTACCTCCTCTTTTTCATACTCTGCATCTTCACACTATACATCCAAGGCTGTCTTTAAAGTGTATCCTAACTCTGACCACCTCCTTCTTCACTAACATCCTGACTCACCATCATTTCCTGTTTCCACATTTGCCCCCTCCCTGACTTTTCTCCATGTTCACTCCTCAGGCCTTTGCACTGGCTGGTCTTTTTGCTTATAACGTTCTTTTCCTAGTTGTCTGCGTGGCTCCACCTCATCCATTACCAGAGGTCTTCTGTAATTACAGCTTCCTCTAGCCTTTATGCCCTTAATCATCTGCCTGATTTTTCTCCACAAGTGAAGGCTCAGCAGCAGATGAAACTTTAGCTCTTGTTTACTACTGAATCCTTAACACCAAGAATAGGATCTGGCATATAAATACTGATTGAGTGAATAAATGCATAAACATGCTGTCAAATTTCTACGAAATGTGTAAAAAAGATTTAGGCAAGGCTTAAAAATAGCTACCGTACTTGAGAAGCTGAGATTGTGAGAATCGAGGTTCAAGGCCATTCTGGCCAAAACATTTGCGAGACCCCATCTCAACAGAAAAAAAAAAATCTCGGCACACCTGTCATCTTATATACTGCAAGAAGTGTAAAATATGAGGATCTCAGTCCCAGCTAGCCTGGGCAAAAAGGGAAATTGTATCTCCAAAACAACCAGAGCAAAAAGGACTGGGGGCATGACTCAAGTGATAAGAGTACTTTCACAATCATGAAGCCCTGAATTCAAATCCCAGTATTAAAAATGTAAATCATCTAGCTAGAGGTTTTACCTTTGGATTTTCATTAGCTTGTAGTACTTTAATAATATATAAATCCTTTATTTTCATAGTCTAGATTAGAAAAAACATGCCTAGAAAACATATCTAAGAAATAGTTACTTGTGTTGTCATTGTTTGTGTTTTAGCATTATGCTACTGTTTTAATTTCTGATATTTGTGTACAAAGCAAACATGATAACCACTATACTGCAGAAACCTAATTTCTAGTATTTGTATAAGTGTCATAGTACCCTGTGTGGTAAGGCATATACCAAGTATAGAAACTGAGGCTTGTGGAAGTCAAATGACTTACCTAGTAGTACTGGTGGGACAATGACAGGAACCCTAGTAGGTTGCAGGCCTTCTGACTCTGCATTTCCAATGTTTTCCACTCCATTTTATTACATCTTATTGCAGAAGTACAGTATGAGTTAAATTTGGCATGGCAGTATCTGAAATGACCACAAGATGGTGTGTTGCTCAAACGGTCTACATAATCAATGTTTATGAGTCTTCCTTCTCTGTGTATCTTTCTCTGTGCTTATCCTAACTGCCTCTCTCTACTTCTGTCTTTTCTTGTGCCTTTTACTTCTCTTAGTTCTCTCCTTCTCCCTCTTTTTCCTTAAAATCAGATAATTATGAGAGTGAAGTATTTTATTTCTCAAGGAGTTAGACTTTGTCTACTTAATGTAAAATTTCATATATGTCAAGACTCACTTAACTACCCATTGAATTTCTCCCATTGTGAAATAGAAAAATTATTTCCACTGCCAATATAATGTCTATAAAGTAAATTCTCGAAGAGTGTTAGGAAGTGATGTGGTTAGATCCCAGGTGATTCAGGCTCTAAAATCAATGCTTTAGTCATTGTGCTTTGCTGTAAATGAAGGATCATATGAAAGATACAATAATTCCTTGTATATTGGATCCTTTTTGATGATGTTTGTCAGGTGATGATGAGTAATTCAGTCTCTACGTCAGAGTTGAAACATTCTTCACATACTGTAGAATTAGTCCTTATAACTAGACCAGACTTATAGTTTTATTTCCTTGTTTATTCCTACCTTTTAGAACTGAATTTTCTGAGGAAACTTTTCTGAATGCCAGGTGTCCCTTTCTCTGTAATGAATTCCAGATACTGACAGTTGTTGAAAGGGTAGCAGTGGTCCTGCTTTCTTTTTGTAACAAGCTAATCTCCCTTGGCCCTTAACTGTTGGGGCCTCAGATACTAATTTTCTTCTTTTAAAGGAGTTTGAGTTTGAACTATTAGAACAAAAAAGGCTTAAAAATTAAATAGATATTTCAGGTGGTTAAGAGTACAAGCCCTTATCCTGGCTGTGTGTCTGCTAACTGACCCAGAGTAAGTTAGCATAGCAGGGCTATACTCAGAAATAAGATGATGCCTTTAAAAATAGCTGCTGCCCAAATCCCTCAAACCCCAGTGTTTACCTACCCTGTTTTAACCTCCTCTGCTCAGGTATCCAGAATGCTTTCCTAAAGTCAGTTCAAGTCAACAATTACAGGGTTTTGTTTTTGTTTTTTTAGATTTGGAGGTGGTACTGGGGTTTGAACTCAGAACTTCACACTTGCTAGACAGGTGCTCTACACCTGAGCTACTCCTCCAGTCCTTTTTTGCTCTGGTTATTTTGCAGATTTGTATTCCTGTGCTGTCATTGCCTTTTAAATGAAAAGCAGAGTTCCTGCCCCAAGCATTCTTAAACAGGAAGCTGGATATGTCAGACTTCTTTACTTAGCTTCTGTTAATCCTACCAGATTTTAGAGTCTGGGTATCCTTAATGTACCTCTTCTTTCCCAACATCTGCCCATTCAACCCACACAACATGCTTCAATCTGGCCATACAATTACTAACATTCAGTGTGATGCTTCCACTGTACTCCCTGTGACTCCAGCCCAGAAGAGGTTCTAACCTTTCCAATGCATTCTTAAGCTAAGCCTGGTAACCAGCTCCTCTTCTAAAGAACAGCCTTTAGAATCTTGACATTTCTGTGTCATACGGACTTTATTTAAGTGGCTCAATGCAGTACATGTTCAGAGGATTGCTCTGTTTCTTAATTAAGGTCAGAGTGCCAGGTAATAATAATAATTACATGAGCAAGTAATCACTACTATGGTTTATTGAAAAGATCTCACTGTAGGCTAGGCAGTTTTCTGAGTACTCTATGTACATTTTTTTTCATCCTTTGAGCCTTATAACAACCAATCTTGCAAGGACTATTAGAATTTTCACAGGTGGTGAAGCTGAGACTTAGATGAGACAGCTTGCCTTGGCCACATATTAACTTACTTGCAGAACCAGGAAAGGAGCCAAGGTCTGTCTACCCCCAAATCCTGAGCTTGCAGTGAGCAGGCTATATTATCTCACTCCCGCCCAGGTCAGCAGCCACTCACTTTTTGTCTGTGTGGGCCTTAACATCACTGTCTTCTCCAGAGGCTGATCACCAGCTTCTCCAGGGCACATGGCATATATTTTAAGAGAGTACATTATCCAATTTCCATGACAGATTAATGACCAGTGAGTCACCAAGGAGAGGTGTTTTGAACTGAATTAGTGCTTCTATGAAAATATTCCCACTAGCAAGTAACAAATTTCCACCTTTTCCCTAATTCAAGGTTTCTTAACCTAGGACCATGAGTAGGCTCAGGGCATTCATGAGCACTCTGAAATGTTATGTAGAGTGTTTTATTATGGGGGAAGGGGACGGTGACTTCGGTGCTCATAAAGGGGGGGAGCCATGCGCTTAGGAGACTTTCAAAGTGGATCTGTCCGTAACAGTATTAAGAGCCACTGTACTAATTGCAGTGGAGTATAAAGTTGGTTTACCTAAATAACAAACCCAGTCTTATCCCAGGAGTTTGACAGGGCTCCTTGCTGCTGAAAGTACATCTAAACAGAACAAGGATTGAATTTCCAATGTAATCTTTTTGAGTGCAAAAGTACCTCTTTGGATGAAGCTGTGATTTCCAAAACCTACAGGGTGTGATTCAGAGCTCTGAGGCTGAATTCATAGCTTTTCCTGCTTCCTGAATTCAATTAAAATGTTATTTATATAAGTAAGACAAAATGAGTCTTAGACATTTAAGAGTGGAGACTATGTATGTCTCTCTCTGTTCATTAAGTATTTCCATGCTTACTGTGTGACAGGCATCAAGAATTTCACAACAAATAGAGTTCTTGCTTTCACAGAGTTTGCATATTGGCATCTAGATATGTTTTTGTATCCCTAATACCTTACCAAGAACACTGTACCTAGTAGTACTTAGCCATTGGGTACTTAAATGTCCTTATTGCATCCTTATTAAGTTAACGGAAGGCCTTCAGCTTTGATTCATTCAGCATTTGACTGTTGAGTCCCAACCATATTCCAAGCATTGAGTTAGGCACTGGAGGTTTAGTAGGAAGCAAAACGGAAGTAGCCTGTTTCTAGTGGGAACTGACAGTGAATTAAAAATCTAAGTTAACTGTGGACTTGGATAGGTGCCATGGGTGAATTGACTTGATGCTATAAGAATATATAAAGAAAGACCTGATCTGACTTGAACTACTACTGTTACTGCTGCCGCTGGCATGTATTCCAAGTTCTGGAACTAACTGACTCTTGTATGCAAACCACCCACACTCTAAAAGTCGGCATCATCTATGAGCCAGTGGTGGTGCTATTTATGTTGTGTTTGTGGTGGGAGTGGGGATTAAGGCATTTGAAGGGGAAAGAGAACAAACGAGTCTAAAGGATGGAAAGAGACTGAGCTGATGGAGAAGTAAGAAGTCTGAAATAGCAAGCTCCAGGTAAAACCAGAGCACTTTGCATTTCTAGTCCTGAGAGGTGACCTCTGGGTACTGATTAAGGCAAGACCATCATCTAGAGAACAGGGAGAGCTGTCTTAGCCCATAGTAAGAGAATTATTTTTAAATTGCATTTCTAATTGTAAAGATAATTTGTGATCAATGCAGAAACTTAAAACATGGGAAAAGCAAAAAGAAATAACTACGTTACCACCAAAATATAGGAACCAAATGAGATGGTATATGTAAAGTCTACATTTATCAAGTATGCATCAGACACAAACTATTGAAAGTTAACAATTTTTCAGTGAGAATAAGGCAGTTTTAATCAGGGTTAATAAAATGTCAAAAATTACTGGGTAGTTGGCCTTTTGAAACATATATTTCTGGGGGAAATGTTAATTATTCCTAACCCCCACTTAAGACTGAGAATTGAAATATCCTGAAGATTTGTGAAAATGTTTAATAAGATTTGGTGTCAGTTCTTTTAAAAAAAAAAGTGGAAGCCTCATATCCACTGCCCTCCTTTCTCCTTTACTCAACTGCAAAGAGCACTGGGAGGAAGAGTTTACTACCCACAAGCCTCATTTATTTTCTGTTCCTCTACTGTCAATCTGATAGGATTATTTATAATTTTACTGATTACAGAGACATTTTATTTAGGTGCTTTTGTTTGTAAATCACTTAGGTACAGAATTAAATTTTATCCCAACATTGACCTGAAACTACAAAAAGCTAGCCTTAGAGATGTCACTCTCTAGCTTATGGCCTAAGTATTTAATGGCTGCCTTTCTTCAGCCAGGCTGTCTTCCTGGCTGCTACTTGGGCAGCAGACAAACTCTAGGAGCAGAGCTCCAAATGAGGCACAGCTGCAAACAGTCCAATAAGAAAGTCTAGTCAGTGAGAGAGGGTCACCAAGGCATTCAATTCAGACAGGAGGGAGCAATACACCAGGGAATGGGACACTCCAACACCAACGTGCTGCAAACATGGGCCCAGCTCACCTCCACCTAGTTGGAGTAGACTACCTCTGCAAGTCCTATTACCTGGACCTAAGGGCCAACAAGCAGATTGGCAAGTCAGCAGTTTAATGCTAATCATTGAACCTTTGAGAAGGAATAAATACTAGCTTTATTGTCACTCTTTAGATTATACATTTCTGTTTTATTGTATCTCATATTTTTTTAATTAATTTAAAGGCTACCATAGAGAATGGGTTAGCAGTTAGAAGAAGGAATCAAGAGAGTTGCATCTTGAAGGTTCACCCTTGTTCAGCAACATTGAAGAAGGACCAGCCAGTAAAGTGAAGAACCCTAGCAGGCAGGAAGAGAGCCAAGAGAATAAGTCAAGGGAGGAAAAATTTCCTAGAAGACAAGTGTTAAAGTATGAAAGTGAAGGGCTTTTTAAAGTTTATTGAGGAGAGGTAGCACTCATGGGAATAGGGGGTAAAAGAGCCACTGCTGACTTTCAAGAGGATCCTTTTTCTAGAAAAGTCAGTAAAAGTCTCATTTAGAGAGATTAGAGAAGGAAGGGCCATAAAGCAGTGGAAGTGAAAAATAGGTCTGTGGTTTGCAGTGATTGGTAAGAAAAGGTGTGAAAGAAAGAGGACAGTACTTTGAAGAGGTTGCAAAGTTGCAGGTGTAAAGCATTTAACAACTGTGCTAATCTGTGCTAAATAAAATGGTATCTTACTATTATTACTACTACTACTAGAGACAAATAGGATCCAAAACTCAAGACTCAGTAGAAGTCTTGGTCTTCAGTGCAGGTGCTGAAGCACTTTGTGTTTTTTCTTAATTTGTACTGTGGCTTATTCTACAGATTAGTCAAAAGAAGTTGAAAAAATATGAGAAAGAATATCACACCATGAGGGAGCAGCAGGCCCAACAAGAAGACCCCATCGAGAGATTTGAGGTTTGTTTATGGCATTCACTTCATACAGTTGTGTCTGTAACTAGCTTTATTGAGTCCTTTTTAAAATTCACTTCTACTGTTTCTAGACTTAAGTGTTAGTTTGAGTTTGCAAATGAGAAATCAGATCTGTTATACTCCAAACCAGCTGCCTGGTTTGTTACAATTCAGTGGCCTTTCCTCACAGTTAATAAGTAGCTGCATGACAAGGTCACTTGAATCAGTTAGGTATTTCTTAGTAGTGATACAAATAAACTCCTTGAGAAACACATTAGAACCAGCCATATCTCTTTAATTCCACAGGAATCAGAAATTTGTTTTTTTGAGAGTTAGCCCTGAATAATTTTCATTTCCATCTGATTTTGGTTTTTTTCTGTTTATAACTGGTTTCTTTTTGCCCTTTAGCGGGAGAATAGGCGCCTACAAGAAGCTAACATGAGGTTGGAACAAGAAAACGATGACTTAGCTCATGAGCTGGTGACCAGCAAGATCGCACTGCGAAAGGACTTGGATAACGTAAGTGTGACAGGTCCAAAGGGAAAGAGCACATGGAAGAACTTGACCTCATCCTTAAGCAGTGAAATCATGGAAATTTAGTGTTTACTCTTCTAGTTACCTTCAGAGCTTCCATCTGGTGAGACAGCTTGCTTGTCAGTAGTGCTTCCTCCTTTCTGACTTCAGGGGCCACCAGTTGGGTCAGATGCTCAGCTCTCCTTACCACACTCTTCCCTAATTGTGCTCCCAGTTCCTGAACTACTTTCCCAAGCAATGTTTGTGTGAGAGACATTTTGGCTAATTCTTTTTTTTTTTTTTTCTTTTTCCTATCTCTGATTTTTATTTATTTTTTCTGAAAAACAGATGTAAGGATATCACGTGAAATATTATGACTGGAAAATATGGTTGCTTGGCCTGCACATTTTTATTATATGAATCCCTGTAGATTTTGGATGGCTTCAATTCTTGCATAATTGTCATTATCAAATACAGAAAAAGAAAAAAGATAACACATGATAGATTCTCGATTCTGCATGAAAAGTGCTAAATGAGCACTAGTTGGCAAGCTTTTCATGATGATTATCATAATGCCAACAGCTTTGACTCATTTTTAGGGGGTAGTGGGGGTACTGGAGTTTGAACTCAGGGCTTGACAGGCAGGTGCACTACCACTTGAGCCACACCCCTGAGTAATTCTTATGTCATCACAATTGGCAGCATTTAATTGTTATAATTCCCTGAACTCACCAATAAGATGAAGATATTTTGTTTTCCTACATATTTTGAGCATGTTAAATAAGCATGAGAATGGAATACAGCTCAATGCCTGAACAATATGTTAGTCTCATCAGTTTCTATTAGCAGATGTTCTGCTTTTCCTTTTCTTTCTTCGTTTCTTCTGATCTTAAAATTTTTGAGATGATGCTTTCCTACAATTCTATACTGTAGGCTTCCCATAGAGGAAGTACAGTCTTATTAATGGCATAGGTCAGGGCTGGCAAACTTCCTGTAAAGGAATAGATAGTAAATGTTTAAGGTTTGTGGCCTATGATCTCTGCTGCCACTGCTTAACTGTGCCATTGATATAAAAGCACTTAAGCACAAGATGTGAATGAGTGAATATGGCTGTTTTCCAGTAAAAGATTATTTACAAAAATAATCTTTTTGGTGCACTCGATTTGGCCTATGAACTATAGTTTCCATCCCCTAACTTAGATTTCCCTAGTAGGTTCCTAGGATTATTTTTCTGCTTGTAAGCTCAGGATGTTGAGAGTTTACAAAGATCTCACATTTTATTTATATATATATATGTATATATATATAAAATATACATATATATACATATAATATACAGACACACATATATCTATATTAAACCCCAGAGAGCCCGTGAACTTCAGGAGGTCCTTGACATCCAAAAGTATGTGAAAATTCTGCACAGTAATATAGTTCCTTTGAGCGTTCCTACTTTTATTAGATTCTCAAAGTAGTTCACATATGAAAAACAGAGAAAGCAGTATCTACTGGTTCTTACTAATTTTCTTTAGGAGTAGAATAATGGAATATAAATTTTTGGAGCAACCACCTACTCTTACTTTCAAGCCCACCTTGCACACCCTGTAACATATGGGTAGGGAGAATAATGACTGTGTCACAGGGTACAGGAGGATCTACATGGTTTGGTGTATTTTATTAAAAGCACTAGGAAAAAACAAAAACTCAACCCTCTGTTAGCATTAGGTGGCTGCAGGTAACTGAGAAAGCTTCTGTTTCCAGTTTCTGTGAGGAGAGTATGTCAAGATAATTAGCGTTAGATAACCACAACCTGGGATCTCACTGACTTTCCACCATGATCTGCTTGTCAGGGTTGAGCCTCCTCCTCCTTTGTAGAAACACTGTACAAGCATTCTCTCACTGTCTAGTCATGTTTGCCTAGTTTGAGGAAGGAGGCCATTGATCATGGAGCAGGGACTGCTAGAACAGGGCCAGAGCATATAGCACACAGCCCTCACGGCTGTGAATCATGCAGGAAGGGAATGAAAATAAAGAAAATGAGTCCTAAATGTTACACTAAAATCCCAGGTGGATGTTCCGTTTCAGCTGATAGTTTCCAGTCTGAAGAACCAGTAATAACACTGACACCCACTGGCTTCAGGTAGGTTGTGGACTCTTACATTATTGAAACTTTCCCCTTAACACTGTAAAACGTTTTTCAAGTTGTCTTATCCTAACACAGTAGTCAAAAAATTAGGCTACATTCCTGATATCAAAAGTGGAGAAAAATAATAATAGGCCCTCCTTTTTATTGATGCTCTGCTGCCAGGCATAGTTATAAGCACTTTATTCTAGTATCTCTTATTCTTAACTCAGCCTTGTAAAGACAGCAGCATGAGCCCCCCGCTTTTTTTTTTGCGTGGGATTTGAACTCAGGACTTTGAGCTTGATAGGCAAGCACTCTACTACTTGAGCCACACCTGTAGCCCTTTTTGCTTTTACTTTATTTTTTCAGATAAGTTCCTGTACTTTTACATAGGTCAACCTCAGACTGTAATCCTCCTGTCTCAACTTCCCAAACAGCTGGTATTACAGGCTGGCCACCACACACAGTCCTGAGATTTGATTTTTTTTTTTTTAACACTTATGAGACTTGAGACTCAGAGATGGGAAGGCACCTAGAAAGAAGCATAGCCAAGAATCTAGCTCAGGCCCATCTAACTGGAATGTCCGGGATCTGTTGATGTCTTAATCTCATTGCAAGCAGAAGTTGAGGAAAACTGGTGATTCTGATACATCATAGCTAACATTTCTTCAACATTTATAAGTGCTAGTCACTGTTCCAAGTGCTTTGTATATACTGTCATACTGAATCCTCAAAACTTCCCAGGCTATTCAGGGATATTCATTTTATTTCCCATATTACTGATTTGAGGAAACTAAGGCAAAAAAGAGATTAAATACCTTACATTGGTTATGCAGCCAGTCAGAGGCAGGGCCCTTACACTGAAACCCAGATGGTCTGACACTGTTCACACTGCCAGTGGAAGAATGGGGGCCGTGCAAAATGGGGTTCGGGAGCACCCTCCAGCGTATGCAGTGCTGAGGAGAAGTCCTCTTCCACATTAGCCTTCTCTGTAGTTTCTTTGCAATCATCACTGAAAGTCAGCCAGGGCACCCTCATCCTGTTTCAGCTTAAGAGACTCAAGGTTTTGAAAGAACTTCATTCCTTTCAGCTCTCTCCTTGCATCCCACAGAAAAGCTCTAGTGTTAGACTACATATGTTTCCAGAACCCTCTTTGTATTCCCAATTGACTTAACATTACTTTTGTTATTTGTTAACTCTTTTGCTGTTCTTCACACAGCAGCTATTGAACAATTTCAAGTTAATCTCTAGGTGACCTCTGGCAGGGGACCCCAGAGGGGGTCCCTCTGTGGAATGAGGTAATGACTGGGACTGACACTGGTGCTGAAAAGATAAGAGGGAACCTAGAGAAGGTCCCTGGCACAGGGTTAACAGGACCATTTCCAAGTCTCCTCTGGCATGGTTGCAACTCTGCATTGAGGCACTATGACATGAGAGCAAAGGAAACCAATTCAGTAACCTGCCTGCTAAGATCCATAACTTAACAGATCTGTGACCATGAGCAGGCAGCTAAACTTTATCCATTAAATTACCTCGAACCCCTTTATCAAAAATCAGTTGACCCTGTATATATTGGTCTGCTTGATTTTCTATCTGCTCCATCAATCTGTGGGTGACTATCCTTATGCCACATTGTCTAGGTTACTATAGCTTTATAATAAATCATATAATCAGGTCATTTGAGTCCTCCAGTTCTGTTCTTTTTAAAAACCACTTGGCTATTTTTAAGTCCTTTGCATTTCTATATAAATGTTAGAACCAGTTTGTCAGTTTCTAGAAATAAAACCTGGGTTTTTGAGTGGGGTCTTCATGGAATCTGTAGATCAGACTGGAGAGAACTGACATGTAGCAGTAACTAAGCCTCCCAATTCATGAATGTGCAATTTTTTTCCTTATTATGGCATTTTTCAGTTCTGCTCAACAGTGCTTTGTAGTCTTCAATCTTAGATCTGTTTTAATCTATTATAAATGATAATATTTTGATTTTTTTTTTTTTTTTTTGGCGGAACTGGAGTTTAAACTCAGATCCTCACGCAGGTGATCTACTATTTGGGCCACTCCACCAGTCCTTTTTTGGTGTTGGGTATTTTCAGGGCAGGGTCTCATGAACTATTTGTCCATGCTGGTCTTAAACCACAATCCTCCTGATTTCTGCCTCTTGACTAGCTAGGATTAGAGGCGTGAGCTTCAAGTACCCGGCTGGTAGTGTTTTCTTAATTGCATTTTCCAACTGTTTATTTGCTAGTCACTAAAAGCAGTTGATTTTGTGTTGTGACCTTGTATCCTTTAACCTTGCTAAAATCTCTTTATTATTCTAATAGCTTTTTTTGTATATTTCTTAGAATTTTCCACATACACAATCATATCTCTGAATAAGACAGTTTTACTTTCTTTCACATTTTTCTGCTTTTGTTTCTTGCTTCATGGTACTGAGGAGGATTTCAGAACAGTGTTGAATGGGGAAGACGATGGCTTTACCTTGTTCCAGATGAGAGCTAACCACTTTTGCACAAAGTAGGCTGAAAGTTATTCTCTGTTCAAATTTGCTAAGTTTTTGTCGTTATTGGGTGTGGAACTTTTTCAGATACTTTTCCTGCATTTTTGAGTGTTTCTCCTTAATTTCATTAAAATGGTGAAGTAAATTAAAATACAAACCAACCTTGAATTCCTAGGGCAAACTCCAGTTAGATTTCTATTTTTATTGAAGATTATAATTTTTGTTTAATATTTTTATGTTGAAGAGAAATATTTGGAGTTTTCTTTAATGCTTTTGCCCTCATTTTGCTATTGAGGTAATGCTGGTCTCATAGAATAAACTGGGAAGTGTGTTTCCTATTTTCACAAGGACTCTGTGGGATTGTACTGTGATTAAATCCTTAATTCCCTAGTGAAGTCATGGGCCTGGAAATTTCTTTGCAGAAAATTAATTGTGAATTCAATTTCTTTTTAGATAATGAACTCTTCAAATTCTCTAATTCTTCATGTGCCTGTTTTTAAATTTGTGTCAAGTAATTTATCCATTTTCACCTTACATGTTAAGTATATTGATACCAAGTTGGTGTTTCCTTCTTTTAATGTTTACAGAGTCTGTAGTGATCAATGTCCTTCTTCCATTCCAAATTTTGGGTAATTCGTGTCTTTTTCCTTTTCTTCCTCAATCTAATTGGAAGTTTATCAGTTGAGTTAAATTTTTCAAACACAAGTTTTTGGTGTTTTTTCTAGTGTTGGTTTTATTTCACTGATTTCTGCTTTTTATTATTTCCTTCTACTTTATTTGGGTTAATTTGCACTTTTTCTAGCTTCTTAAAAAGAAATAAATTTTCGACCCTTCTTTTCTAAAATATGTATTTAGTTATAAATCTCCATGTAAGCACTATTTTCATAAGGGAGCAGTGTGACAGTTCCTGTATCTGATCATACAGTTACCTGTCTCCTGTCATTCCTTCTTCTTCATGAAGTACCTTTTTTACCATTATGAAATGGTCCAGTTTGTCCCTGGTAATATTGTATGACCACTCCAGTTTTCATGGGACTTCTTTTTCTATCCTTTCACTTTTAATATATCTGTGTCTTTGTTTTGTCCAAAGGGAATTTGTTTTCCTTGTGCAATCTTTAGTTTAACAGCACGTTTGCCTTATTTTATATTTTCATTGCCTTATAAGGTATTCTGTGTCTCCCTCTTCTCCAGAGCTCTCCCCATCAGCTGTCAGCCACCACAGACCCCCACCTACCCCAAGGACCCTTAACTTTTTGAGGTCTTCATGTTCTGTTTTGAACCCTAGTCATAGTATGATGCACGTTTGAGGTTTTTTTTTCTCCCAGAAGCACAGTTCTGCATTTATTGTTTCCAGTGTCTGAAAACAGTTGCTTGATATATTTTTTCCAGTTTTCTGTATACAGTGGGAAGATAAATCTGGACTCTGTTGATCCTTCATGACTGGAAGTAGGAGTCTGGATTTGTGTTTATTATCCCCAGATGTTCTCCCCTTATTTGCTTATGTAAACAGAATGGACTGCAAATGGCATGCCATCAGAAGACCCCAGTTGTGTCAGTCCGGTAGCCTCTCTGCACCTTCACATTGGCACAGTGCTGACTGTGGAAGAGGTAGGATAGATACTGGCTCAGAGTCAGGTGATAATGGTGACTCCAGCTTGTCTATGTGGATTTTGAGAGATCAGGGAAAACACTTCCCATCCTTCCTTCTGCATGAACTGGGGAATCAAGATGGGCAGAGAAGGCTCTTGAGTTAGAAGACCAAGTTCATCACCTGGCTGTTCTGCACATCTCAGAATTAGTCTCAGTATTAATCATCATCTCCCATGGAGTGATGATAAGTACCAGGAGTCACAGAAGCATCAGGCATGTACCCCATGGTAGTGTGCAAGAGATGTCAACTGAGTCCCAGGCAGAAATTCTAGGTCCCATTGACTAAAATAATTTTAACAGGATTTTGTCCTCAATAATTGTGTTTTTGGGGCTGGAGGAGTGGCTCGAGTGGCTCAAGTGGCAGAGCACCTGCCTCGCAAGGTGTGAGGCCCTGAGTTCAAATCCCAGTACCAAAAAAAATTGTGTTTTTGTCTTCATTTCCCTTGTGATTTACTTCTTGGGTTCGAGGTGGAGGAGATGATGAGCTTTCCCCAAGAATAGCCCTCAACTCTAGGATACCCTTTAATTGTGTGCCTGGGTCAGTAATTAATGGCCTTTTGAATGTGCCATTCTTAGTTCCCTATTTAAGATCCCAACTTTGTTCCTCCCAAAGAAGAAGAGTAGAGAAGAAAGTGGGGTCCACCTACACCACTTTAGCTAAGTGATACCAGAAATACTATTTAATTTCAGGGAAGCACCCCTCCATTTCACAGGAGGTTATCTCTTCAGAGCCCAGCCAAAACCCTGTCTATCTGGTCCTTGATTGCCCTCTGACGTGATAGAGAACAGTCATTCTTCAGTTATCCTTGGAGGATATCATTTTCCCTGGGACTCACAGGTCCAGCCACCAGATATTTGCATGTGTTAGAAAAAGACTAGAATGAAACACACCCATTAAAGACAATAAAAAGAAAGTGCCTGGAAAAGGAGTGCCTCCTTTACTGGGTGAGTAATAAGAACAAAATAGAAGACTTGTTGGATGAAGCAGAGGAAATACAGTTTGGAAGACGAAAACCAGAGCTTATTACTATTATTAAAAATGAAAGCTACCTATATTTACTATATTCTAGACACTGCGTTGAATGATTTTCAAGCTTTGTCCCACAGATGAAGAGCCTGAAATTTAGAAAAGGTCTCAGTGTCTTATCCAAGTGGCACATGGTCAGTGAACAATGGGAGTTGAACCCAAAGCTAAACCCCTGACCACTGCCCTGCACCACTTCCTTCCAGGGGATGAGGGAACAGCATTCCCTTGTTTGGGTCAGTTTGCCCATGCAATTTAAGCTCCTTTTAGTTCTCAGCTGTTGCTTTCTACCAGCATGTTCTTAACGTTTCAGGCTGAGGAAAAGGCAGATGCATTGAATAAGGAGCTACTGATGACCAAACAGAAGCTGATTGATGCAGAAGAAGAGAAGAGACGGTTGGAAGAAGAGTCTGCTCAGGTGAAGGGAACCTTGCTCTCTCCCAGACTTCCCAGAGTCTTGCAAGTGCTAGCATGTTGAAAGTTCAGCTGGTGGTGTCCTGTTGCACCAGGGACTCTGGGGACAACTGACTTTAATTTCCTTCCAAAGGCCTTTTTTATTTACTTTGTAAAGCATAGTGGTTCTTTAATTATTAAGTCTAGGAGGAGACAGTAGGTCAGAGCCCACCGTTGGTTGGGGCAGGAAAAATTCCTGGTGTTGAAATTCAGCATGGAGTATAGCGAAAAATTAACATTTCTGCAGAGGGAGTAGGCACACCAGTCATAGACTGTCAGCAACCCAGGCTCATCCTCTGTCTCACTTAGAGCACTGTGAGCAGTGCTTCAGTCATAGGCAGAGCTGTGGAGGCCGTGCCTGGAGCAAACCCCTCTCCTCAACCTCCTCAGTCCTCCAGGATGGGCATGCCTGCTTGCCTCAGGTGAACTGTGACCAAGCATTGTCCACAAAACCATGTGGTGCTGAGCACTGCTGTGGCCTCTTGGCTCTTCATTCTGCTTGGCCTATGCTGGCTCCTCTGCTAAGGCCACAGCTTGGGTGGTTGCACTGGCACAGGAGAACTACAGAGAAGCCCATTGGAGATCGGTTTGGCATTTTCAGAAATGTTTCTGTTCTCCCCTCTCCTAGCCTCAAGAATGGTATGAGTGCTACTAAGGGTGGAAGAAAAGGTGGGGGAATTAGACCCTGGACAATTGGCTGAGGCACTTTTTTGGCATGAAGCAGTTAGTGACAGAGATTCCTTTATTTTTCCCTTAAATTCACTTTTGCTTTTTTTATGTGTGTAGTTAAAGGAAATGTGCCGTCGGGAACTTGACAAGGCAGAATCTGAGATTAAGAAAAACAGTTCCATCATTGGTGACTACAAACAGGTGGGTTCCTGCATCATGGGCTGAGGTGGTACACTGGGGCAGGGATTGTGTGCCCTCTAGCCACAGTGCAAAAGCATGTTGGCTTCAAACCCTGGCTGTCCCCTTAGTCTCATTTGTAAAATAAGAAAACTAAGCCATGTCTTGGAGTATCATTGTGTGTAATATAAAGGATGTGTTGTACAGTGCCTGGCATGGTGCATCTAGTAGGGACTTAATGAATTAAAGCCCCAGTATGTTTCAGGAAACGTTCAAAGTCTAAATGGCTGTAAAGCAGTTCTCTCCAACGCTGGTAGTTTCGAGAACGCGGTTTGATTGATCATGTTCCTTCTCCGTTGGGATCTCATGCTGGCCTGCAAGTCTGGCATGGGTCATTTCCTGCAAGTCTGAGGCTGGCCACAGCTGGAGTAGCCTCTGCTCATGTCAGTATCACAGCTTGTTGGTGCTGCATTAATACCACCTAGCATATTCTAGCTGTTGGTATAGATCTTATCCCAAGACCAAATTATGCAGATGACTACATTGCTCAAAAGATTGTGGTTTTCTGTTCATTTCTTTAGATTTGTTCTCAGTTGAGTGAAAGACTGGAAAAGCAGCAGACAGCTAATAAAGTGGAAATTGAGAAAATTCGGGTAAGACTTCATTTTACACTACCTTGCTCATGTTTTGGCTGTCTTCAGCACAGCAGGTTTTGGGAGAGGTTGTTGATTTCAGACAGAAGCTGCCCGGGGAAGTGGCTCAAGGGGTAGAACTCTTGCCTAACATGTACTAGGCCCTGGATTCAATCTCCCAAAATAAACAAGAAAAGCTAAGGAGTATCTGATTGATAAGGTGCCTGTCACGGCCTGGCCCAGCGATTGACAACTTACTTGTTTTCTGTGGGAGTTCAGAGAAGACCAAAGAGCTCTGGCTTTAGATCCCAAAGTCCAAATTGCCCCCAGGATTGTGAACATCATTGGGAAGGCAGTCAGTTTGCTGCATGGCTTCCCCAAGACAGAGTCCAGTAAGTACTAGGTTTTGCTTGAGGTGGGAGTGCAGGGTCAGGTTCATCCACTGTTTCCACATTGTTCTGTATAGACACTTCCCCCCCTAAGCTCTTTCCTTCTGTTTTAGTGGATCCAGAAACAATGAAGACTTTAATTTTTAGTGTGTCACTGCTAGTTTGGGAGTAGGGGGGTATAGCTTGCTGATTTTTTTTTTTTTTTGGCAGTACTGAGTTGTTGGAACTCAAGACCTAGCCCTTGCTAGACAGGCACTCTGCCCCTTGGCCATACCCCCAGCTCAGTGCTTTCTTTACACCTATGTCAGATTTTATAAGCTGAGTAATTTACTAAAAGATGCTTTACTTCTATATTACAACTCAGTGAACAAGAACATAGGAGAGTTCTGTGCTCACAGCCTTGTTTACACAAAGCAGTGTGATACCTGGAACAAGATGACACCAACTTGTATCATAACCAGAAGCACCTATTTTTAAGTATTTATTTTCTGGCTCAAAAACTTATATAAAATTTGGGAAGTGAGTAAATAAGTAAAAAAACCTTTGTACAATTACCTACAGATAACAAAATCTTTGGGGGGAGCAGTACTGGGGATTAAAGCTAGGGTCTCCTAAGCATGTCATATCCCCAAGCCTCTGACATCATCATTATTAACATTTTGGTGTTTAGACATTTCGGTCTTTGTTGTTCCGTGTTTACTCTAACATAAAATTTCATTTATTCAAGATGTGTAGTTTTTAATTTACATTTCAAAATTGGGATGTTTTCTAATTGCTTTTTGTGGCTTAATTTAGAATTTTCTAGAGGAACATAAAATAATGTTTCTTACATTCAGCGACATCCTATTTTGACAAAATAATGGGATATTTTATTTGTAAGCATGTTTTACAAACATTTTTGTGTCCTATCTCTTTAAAGTAGCATTTAAGCATTTTTCCATGTTACAAAAAATCCATCAAAATTCCTTTAGAGCCTGCATATTTCCTTGAATAACCATAGCACAGCATGTTTAATTGTTCTCACTTGTTAGGTGGTTTATTCCCCTCTCTCCTTTTTTACATATCCCCAGTTCCACAGTGAAAATCCTTGAACATAAATCTTTATCACAGCTTAGTCATGGCATCATTTTGTTAGCATGAGTTCCTAAAAGTGCCAGACTGAATCAATATTTTTATTGCTTTTAACATTTCATACCAGGTAGCTTTTCCAGTAGGTTGCCTGCCAGTTTCTAAACAGCCAGGTTTTGGAAGCTGCAAGTGCTAACAGAGATGCCATCTCTCAGATCTCCTCTAGAGAAAGCGCTCACGACATCCTAATGGGCCAGTTTCTGTTCTTTGCCTCTTCACCTCTGATACTCAATTTCAGCAAAAAGTGGATGACTGTGATCGCTGCCGAGAGTTTTTCAACAAAGAAGGACACGTGAAGGGCATCAGCTCAACCATGGAAGTTATGGATGAGGACACAGATGAAGAGAAGGAAACGCTCAAGAACCAGCTGAGAGAGATGGAGCTAGAATTGGCACAAACCAAGCTCCAGTTGGTGGAAGCTGAATGCAAGATCCAGGTAATGCCATTGTCACTTAGGCATGTGCCATGGGCCAGATTCTCTGGTGTGGACTAGAAAAGCCAGAAATGACTTTTCTGGTTTGAGATGTTTTCTCCCCTTTTAAACGTTGACCATAATCCTCATAGGTTAAAAACCAATATTGATATTTGTCAGTATTGGTTAAATCAGTATTTGGCATGCCCTAAGAATTTGGACTGAGATTGTGGATCTTTTTAGTGGGACATAGGACACGTGCTTTAAAATCAAGCTCCACCACTGAACATTTTTTTCTTTTTTGGAGGCACTGGGGTTTGAACTCAGGGCTTGTGCTTGCTAGGCAGGTGCTCTACCAATTGAGCCACACCTTCAGCCCTTTTTGCTTTAGTTATTTTTCAGATAGGGTCTCGTACTTTTTTGCCTGGGCCAGCCTCAGACTGATTTTCCTACCTACACCTCCCTCATAGCTGTCACTGCAGTTTTTCACCAGTACACCCAGCTTGTTCTTTGGGATAGGATCCCCTAACTCTTTTGTCCCAAGTGGCCTCAAACCAACAGTCCTCCTACCTCTGCCTCCCAAGTAGCTGGAATTATAGGTGTGAGCCACCATGCCCAACATCCACCACTGAACTCTTGAACCTGTGTTAGGTAGTAACCTTTCTATACCTCAGGTTCCTGATCTGCAAGTGGAAGTGATGAGAGTGCCAATCTTCTGTCAGGTTCTTTTGAGGACTAAATAAGACAATATGCAGGAATGGCTTACCACAGCAATGGGAACTTGATAAATGTGAACTTTTTTTATTCTAACTCCCATCACTTAGAGCTCTGTGACCTTATACAGCTTAACTATAATTTATCCGAGCTGCCATTCCTAATGAAGAAGGGCGGGCTGATTTTTGCTCATCTTTCTGCTTCACTGCTAGTTCCACCAGTGCCAGCATTGAGCACAAGTAGGCATTGGGCACTGTGTGTGGCAGGAACACAGATCGTGCCCAAAGCTGTGGGCCAGGTTTTCCTTTACTGTTTGTCATAACTGGGCATCTGCTCTTGGTCAGGCCATGTCGTAGGTGCTGGGACTACAAGCTAAGACATGCCTTGCAGGACTGCCCAGGACAATCAGGAACAGCATCACCCAGGCAGTAGTGTCTGAGCTGTGATCAGAGAATGCACAGGGTTTGGAGCTGCAGAAGAGAAAGAACCATCATGAACACCCCTGGCAGAAGATGCTCTGCAGCGGGGCGGCGGGAGACGAGGGGCTGGAGGGTGGGGAGTTTCAGGAAAGTACTTCTGTATAGGAGGGGATGAAGGTAGGTACTAAGGCTGGAACAGAGCATATGGGTGGAGGTTATGAATCATCTCAAATACCATACAAAGAGACTTGGACTTCAAAGGTTTAGCTGGAAATTAATGATGTAATCAGCTAAAGTATCAGGTGTGTGCAGTTGGCCAGAAGAGGGAGACATTAAATTAGGAGGCTGCTTTAATAAATAGACTAGGTAAGAAATGTCTTCCCTAGGAAAGCTCCCAAGTCTCCAGGCATTGCAGACCTTCCTCTGCCAGTTTGGGGACATTTCCAGTGGCCTCTCAAGAATAGACAGAGCTCTTCTCTGAGCTCAGTTCTTGGGAGGACACGGCGCTAATACTGAAACTGAGATCCTCATACACGGTGTTCCTCCTGTAGGATTTGGAGCATCATCTAGGCCTTGCCCTCAATGAGGTGCAGGCAGCCAAGAAGACTTGGTTTAACAGAACACTGAGCTCCATAAAGACGGCAACTGGGGTTCAAGGAAAAGAAACTTGTTAAGAACAGCTGCTGCCTCCAGACACCTGCAGAAAACACACCACCTTTTGTTGCCTTCTGTGGCCAGTTGTGTGATTCTGTGACACATTCCAGGAATGGAATGTCCTAAGATCTGTGACACATGTTGGAGGGTTGCTGGGCCAGAGCTCTGGGTAAGGCTCTCCTCACTACTGACACCAACAGGCCTGCCATCCAGCTGATGTTTGGGACACACACACACCAGAAATCACTCCTCAGTGTGCCACCCAGGCCTTTTCCCATGTAGGTCAACACCTCACCCATCCTGAAGGCTGAGTTTACACAATCAGAGTTTGGGGATACTTCAGTGTGTTGATTTTTTTTTCCTAAAACTTTTTTCTTTTAAATACGTATTTTAGATCTAGATCTAGATCTAAATATATAGGGGGATCAAAAATTAAAAATAATTATCTGTCAGTGCCAGCAAAGGCTCCCCGAGTATACATGGAAAAACACTTTGCTTTAAGTAGGAGGGTTTCATAGTCATAGTGGAAGCCACCTAGTTCTGTTAACCTATACAAGGCACAGGTTTTTGGTTTGGCGTTATTCATGTCTCTGAGCGATTCTATGCGACTCTCATAGCCCTATCATCATTTAGCATTGGCTGCCAAAATGACTTCACAGTACTGGGGTGGGTGAGCAACATGACTGTGAGACTGGCTTAATCATAACATGGACAAATCTTATTTTGCTTCTGTGTCAGGTATCCATACATAATACACACACACACCCCTTTCCCAAAATCCCCATTGACAGTGTTTCACCCCCCCCCCCAGACTAGGACTGCTGAGCTGCACAGCTCCCTTCTGTGGTTACCTGGGCACTTATACTTAAAGGTCTGTGGGCTCCATTGTCCTCCCTGCTGTTGTGGGGGATGTGAAGAGCTCCATCACTTTAGGGTTCCTGGTATGATTCCACAACAGGCTGTACAAGTGAGGAAGACGGAGCTGTGTATCTGTGTCATTGTGAGTATGCACATGCTGTGAGGTTCTTGTCCGACTGGCCAGGTCCCTCCCTGACTGGCTGACAGGTCCTCAGCCCTCCCAGAGTGTGGCTGGGTGCGGACCTCACTGTCCAGATGGGCTCTAGGTTCTCACTTCGTAGCTATGGAATGGAGGTTTTAGCACCTTTTTTTTATTATTATTAAATAAATAAAAATTTTGACTCTTAATTTATATAGTGATATGCTGACAGGCTGTTCCACAGGTGGTCATCCTCTGCGTTCCGTGTGGAGGTGGCTGGTTATAAAAGGCATTGGTTTGTATATAAAGACACTCGGGTTGTTTTTTATCTTTTTTTTTTTTCCTGTGGGCTGTACTGATGCTTGCTGAGGTCACCTGTGATAAGGGAGATAACAAGTGGCACCCTTCCCCCAGACCATCCCCTCCAGCCGCTTTCTGTGTCTTTCTTGTTCAGTTACCAAAACAGCTGTAAGCCCATCTAATACTAGGTGTGTGGATATTGTGCTAGGGTAGTTTATGTGTCTTTATGAACTGAAATATAAACCAGTAAAATTGTATTACTATTTCTTTTGTTGGCTTTATTTTAACAGCATACTCATTAAATATTTTGGTACAAACAGCATTGTTTTGTAAAAACCAGTTTTATCATTACATGTTCCTGCCCGCCCTTGCCCAACCTCTGCTACCAGCAGAATCAGAGAGGATCAGCCTCATGCTGGCTTGTGTGTGAACATCAGGTAACACATCCCTTCTGACGCGCCTCTACCCTCTTCAGCCATGAGTGTGGTTTCAGACTATGTGGCAAAGAAAAATACAGGCTCCATCCTTTGGGAAACTGATGCCCCTACTATCATATGTGGCCCTCCCTGAGAAGTACAGTCCTGAGGTGATAAGCAAGACACTTAAGTATATCGGAGATCTTGGGAGGGGGAAGGGTGGAATTGGGCCTGGAAATATACTCTCATCTCATTTGGGACAGAGATGGGAGAGGGAATACTAGAGCCACATGAGAGTGTGTGGCAAAACAGCAACAGAGCCAGAGTGCATGGGCAGATGGATACACTTTTAAAAAACTCTTCACTAGTGGTTCTTCCACATGCCTGCATCACAGGGATGCAGGCCCCAGGCTCTCTGCTGTCCCTTTCTACCCTTTCCCCTCCCTACTTTTCTGAAGCAGGAAGAGTGATGCTTCTGTAACCCTGTGTTTCCCCTCCACATCTGACCTACCCTCCCAGGACTCCCCACCCCCTTTGAACAGTAGCCTGCTGAGACACAGACCATGGCTTCATGCCTGCAAGAAAGGAAGACAGTGGGCCCTGGCCTGTCTTTTCTCCATGCATTGAGGCTGGGGAAGTTTCTAGCCAATCACAGGTACCCTTGCAAAGACCAGGACAGTGGCTCCAGAGCACAGTTAGGATCCCTTCAATGCCCATTGGCTGGAGGGTGTATTTCTAAGGTCCGTATTGCTGGCCAGCCTGCTCCATGCTTTTCCAGGCTCAAAGGTCCCAATGTTCAGAAGTGTAGAAACTGCAGAAATCCTCATCCTGTAGCTGTGCCCTGGCCAAAAGAAAAGAGTCCATACACCAGACATCCATCCCTGATTGAGATGGGGAGAGTAACTGTACTGCCTTATGGTAAGTAGCACAGGGGTATACAGGACCCTGTGGCACCACTGAAGTATGTTTGCAAGAGAGACAAAATGGTAGTGGAAAGGAGGAAAGGCAGGGAAAGGAGAAGGCTCAAAAGAAAAGACAAGAGGTAGCAAGCCCAAATCTCCACGTCCATTCTGAAGTCCAAAATCCAGTGGCCAGGAGTGGGCAGTGAGAAGATTTAAGTTAAGGAGACCCCACACAGTACCAAAATAAGCCCAGAACATACACCTATTCTGAACTGACCCGAGAGTTGTGAAAACCAGTGCCTTTATGGAGGGGAGCCTGGTAGGTAGCATGGACCCCTGGTGGCTTGGGAGGAGTCACTTCACTGCTCAGAGATTGTGCTGGATGCTGACACAGATTTTAAGATTCAGTGGGAGGAGGAGAAGGGGGCAGAAGAGGATATAGACAAAGGGCATGAAGCCTTACAGAATGACGACTAAGGCACTCTTTAGAACAACAGGACTGAGCTGTAGGTGCCCTACCCATCTGTCTCATAAGTGAAGAAATTAGGGCTCACAGAAGACCACACAGCTAGAATGTTACCTTGTACCTAACCCCCAAAGCCAGCTGGTATAATCTGCCATGGAAACCATACTGCATGAACATGTGGAACTCAGGGCCAAGACCAAAGCACAACCTGGAATGTGTATCTCACCCCGCATGGGCTCTGTCCAGCCTGTGTCAAGTTTGCTTAGCTGTTGTGGAACTCTGGACTCATCACACATTCCCTCCTTCATTTTCCCCCTCAGGTAGAGAAAGGCAAAGCTGGGGTCAGCACCTGGCTAACTAGGCTGCCTTTTCTTCAGTCCATGCTAGCGGGCTATAAATCCAAAGTGGTGGTAGAGCCTGGTGTCACAACGTGAAGCAACACACCACCCAGTGTTGCCATCCACTTACCTGCAGGCAGTGGTAATAGCTCTGTCCTGTCTCCTCAGCACCTCCCTCTGGGCTCTAGAGGGCCGAGCCTCACTGGTCTCTCCTGCAGGAATCTTCCTGGGCATGGCTGCAGGAGCTTCAGCTTTGGAGTCAAAGTGTTCTGCCTCCCAGCAGCTTTGCCATGGCTTCCTGATTTGTTACATCTAAGTTCTGGCAACCCCTGGGGTGGGTGTGAGGGTCAGGAGTGTGGGTTGTGAGGAGCACCTGGGCATGCTACAGCTTAGAACTCAGCACTCACTGGCACTTCCAACACCTAAGCCAGGTGCCAACTTGAAGGTTCATGGGCAGAAAACTTCTTGCAGAGGAAGTTCTTTAAGGACCACAGCCAGGAGCATGGACTAGGCCCCAGCCCCACTCCCAAGCTGCTGGCCATGTCAGGAGCCTCCATGCCTTTGTGTAAAGAGAAGAACCCGTAAGATGGACTGAGCTAATCTTACTTGAACCTTCTCTTCACTAGAGTGGATCCTGCACAAACAGTCCAGCCCATTGCTATTTAACACAGAAGCTTTTATTTTTTTATTCATCCAAATGGGGAAAATGCAACATATCAGGGCATTACAGACAAACTGCAGCAGCCAGACAATAGGCTCAGTCTATGGCAGAGTCCAATGCACTCAGCATGAAGGGGCCACAGTGTGGACGCTGCCTGCAGGAGTCGGGGCAGCAGGGTCCCTTTGGATGAAGGCCAGGCATCTCTGGGCGAGGCACTGATGACAGTCCACACATGCAGGCTGCTGCTTCAACACCGATGGTTTAAAGTCCAGAGTCCTACATGTAACCACAGCCCCAGAGGGGTAGGACAATCCATGGTGGCTGTGGTTTCCAATGTTTTTTAACAATACACAACATGAAGTTATTGCCAAAGACTTTGCACAACAAATTATACTATTTACACTTGTGTATTCAGGAAAAAACATTAAATAGATACAGATAGGTATTTTAAATAGACTTCTATTAAACACTAACTTGGCCATCACCAGACCCGAGTGAGCTACAGCCAGAAGTCCAATGTCACGAGTAACCGTGCAATGGGGACAGGTTTTCTACCCACGACACTACACTCAGCTTTCTCCCTGCCTCCTGTGCCCCCACCCTAAGACTGAGGGGCTATAGGTGAGGGGGGCTACATAGGCTGCACCTCCTATCTCCTTCCCATACAGATCTGCTTGAGAAGCAATTTTGCCTAGTCCAACTCCTCCAAGAATGCTGCATACCCTGTAACAGGCAGATCATGGCCACAGTCATACGGCTGTGGTACTAATGATGTAAGGCCAGTCCCTTCCCCAGCACCTCCCGTCAAGAGCACCCCTGGGTTCTGGCCCATCAGCTTCACTGTTCCTGGTAGTGCATATGCCCTAATTATGACTATGTCAGGAGACCTATCTTCTGAAAAAGTGGCTGCGCGTCAACTAGTTACTCAACAGACCAGACAGAGGGTCCACAGTGAAAGGCCTGGGTCCAAAGATGCTTTGGGAAACACTGCTAGGTGCTAAAATATATGTCTGCCCGAAAACAGCCAACAAGCAGGAGGTTCCCACCTGGACCACACATGCACTTTGCCTACCTGAGCTCTGATGTGCTGCTTGAAAAAGTTGTCTAGAGCCAGCTCACCAGACAGCCAGAGTGACCCCTGAGAGACAAGTGAGCCCCCTAGGCAGGATGTAAGGATGTCTCCAACTGCTGCCCTACCCAACAGTTTTTACAGCTGAGCTTCTCCACAGTTTAAGCGCCTCCACACAGCCAGGGTGGAGCCACTGCTCAAAAGCTACCATGTGAAATGAGCTAGGGAAAAAGGAGTTCTCAGCATCCCCTTCTTAAGAAGTGGGGTGCAGAGTGACAACTTCCAACAGCATAGTCCAGGGCTTCAGGCCTACATGCATGAAAGGGTAGGATAAAGGATGCATCTTATGGCAGATTTCTGGCTTCATGTTCAGAGTACTTTTGGAATCAGGGCTCACCTTATTACTTCCAAGTCATACCTCACACATGGGCCACCATCACCACCATGGGGGGTCAGAGCTTGTCATTGAGTGTCAAGGAGACAAATGTACCTGGATGTGCCTTGCCATTGACCTATCAAACAAAAATCCTAAAGCTAAGATGTTTACACCAGCAAGAACCCAGTTCCCAAGCCTGAGCGAGAAGCAGGGGCCCGGAAGAGAGCAAGGAGCAGGACACTCAAAATGCAACTTTCTAAGTTACAGGTCGAGAAGAAACTTCTTAAAGGCAGTCTTTCTAGCTATCTAATATCCCATCTCTATTCCTGATTCATGTACTTGGAACAATTTTTTTAAAAAATTATTCCCAACTCATACAGCAGCAGAAATACTTAGGATAGACCTTTAAAAAGAAGTTTCCAACTCATCCGTTCCCCAATACAGGAAAACAGGGCAGGGCTCTAGCTCCATAAGTGAGTTACAGTGCCCACTGACAAAAGCCTTCCTAAGAGGCTGGAGCACAACACAGAACTTGCTGTCAGATGAAAAGCTACACCTGGTGTCACAGCTAGGGACAGATACACTCTCCAAAAGCCACAGCCAATCTCCACCTACCCCAGACACAAGTTTGTCATTTTCCCTTCCATGAACCCAGAAACTTCTCTAGAAAAATACACGGTGTGCTCCTTCTGTCAGATCCTTGGAGCCAACCCAAGTACACAAGAAATGATAAGGCAGCAAAATCTGAAGCACATCCCATACTAGAGGGAGTTAGGTAAGGCTGAGATGGCAGTCAGTGTGCTCAGAAACATGCTTTCAAGAACTTTTGTGGTCACTTAATTCACAAAGCACAACCTCACTGACAGTAAACAGCATTTGCTCCTTGGGTTGTCACCAAAACTGAATGGTAGCTGCTTTCAACCTGCCCAGGAATGGCCTAGGCAGAATAGGAACTACTCTGAAATTCAGAAAGTGCATTTACACCCCAAGCACTCTTTGGGGTGTAAATGTCTTCTCACCTCAGTGCCCCCAGTAGGGAGGTTGAGGCCTGGCCCAGAGCAGTTGGTAATGCACCTGAGTAGGACTTGCTTTGACCTTCCTTAGAAGTGTGCAGGTCCCTAGAAGGTGGAGAGCAGCACCTCTGGGCTTCCCTCAAGGCCATCCTGAAAAAGCAATTGTGAACTCCACATACCTTTCTTGCCCTGTGACTTGACTCTGAAATGAAGGATAGCCAATCTCTGCCATTTTATCCTCTCACACCAAAGTCCTAAGCCAAAATTAGATTTGAGATCAAATACTTCCTTTGTCTTGCCCTTTCTAATAATCTTTAAGATCACAGGAGAGAAAAGACCTGAAGACAGAAAATACATCAAACTGTGCATCTCAAAAATAAAGGTGTGGTCACTTACTGACCCACTATACCTGGTACCTAGAAAAACCACCCAGCTCTCTGGGCCTCACTTTCCACCCTAGTACCAAGAGTTCCCCGTCTCCTGCCAGAAAAGTCGAGACTAGAGAGGTACAATTTGTAGTTACAGACATGGTCTCCCAAAACCAGAATGTTTCTGAATGCATATGTGACACTTTCCCCTCCTACACACAGGATCCACTAGCTGACCCCTCCACCCAAAAAATAGTCTGCGCTCCTCAGCCTGGTACCCAGGCCATTCCCCAACTGTCTGCCAATGCCTGTGCAACCACACAGTCTGGCTGTTACATCATCTCTCCACCACCTGGCCTCTTCACTTCCTGGGGGAACTATCCATCCCTTCCTCTTCTAAGCCCCACTTCAGAGCTACTTCCTTCCTAAGGCCTTCCCCCATTCACCTCAGCCCCTTGCTCTTCTGGGCACCATTCACCATGGACCTTCCTAAGGCCTACCGTGTATGTCACTCTTTAGCCACCTGTCACTCAGAACCTAAGTTACCTCTGGACGGGGGCTGCACCTCTCTTCATGTGTGTTTGGACAAGAGAAGCTCAGGAGTTCTCTGCAGGGAGATGCTGGAGTTCAGGTAGCAGGGAAGAAACTTTTCAGTCACAATTAAGCCAAAGGGTAAACAAGCTCTACAGTCTAAGGCAAGAGATGACAAAATATGGGCCACCGTTCTTGTAATTGGACACAGCCACACTCACCTGCTCCCGCACTGAGGCTGCTTTTGTGCTGCAATGACAGGTGAAAGTTGTGACAGAGGCTGCATAGCCCATAATGCCTGGAATGCTCACTACAGTATCTGCCCCTTTACAGGAAAAGGTTACTGACATCAGGGCTAGTGTAGTGCTCCCAAATATTTTCACATTGTGATACACAGGAAGGAGATGTTTGTGGGGCCCATGGGGATGAACAGACAGACCGCTTACAGTTATGAAGACCCTTGGCCTGGGGGGTCTGGCCATCCAAAGCCTGGTGGGCTCTGTGTCTCAATATACCTTTAGCCCTTCCAAAACTAACCTAAGGCCTCCAAACCACAGCTGCTGCTTGAACTCTAGTCCCCAGCAAAGCAACAGAAATACAGAGGTACAGAAACCCACCCTGACTCACTGAGGATGAAGCTTAATGATAGAGCACTTGCCTAGCATCCATTAGGCCCTGAGTTTCATCTCTGGCTCCACAAAAAAACCAAAAACAAACCCACCATGATTACTCATGTTTCCTTGCCCATGACAGAGATGTGAATTCAGCAGGCCTTAGATTGGTACAAAACTGAAATCTAAAACAAATCCTTCAGTAATTGCACAGCTTTTCCACTCAAAGAACACTATAAAGAAAACCTACACTTTTTCCCGCTGGTTAAAGACTATGTCCCACAGATACTGAATCCAGAAATCTCCAAGCTCTTGCCCAAATTTAAAAAGACAAAACAACAAACAAAAAACATCACTATTTTTTAAATTAATGCAAAAAAACCCAGTAAAAAGGAACATCTTACTAGCGAGCCCAACCATGCAGAAACTCAGGGAAATGGCAAAGATGCTGACTACTTGGCTATAAATCTGTCTGTCCACTGACAAGGGGGATGGTTTCCACCATAGCCCCATTTACAGGCACAATGAAGATGGGCTTTGCACTTTTCCAAGGTCTCGGTGCTCTGTCAACATCTCCATCCCTCCTCGCTCCTCTTGGTCTGAGGCAGTAATTATGACTGTGCCATCCTCTGAATGAAGGTGCGGGAGAGGTGCTCCAGCTGGCCCTCCCCCTAAATGCTCCCTGGCCAGGGCTGGGTGCTGTCAGATGCCCCTGCTCAGTGCAACAGAGGAGCCAGGCCCATGGGGAGGACTTCATTCCCACCTCCATCTCTGTTGCAGCTGTGGCAGCCTCCCTCATCCTTACCTGGGCACTGGCAACAGCCTCTTCCTCATCACTCCTGATTTGGGTCCTTGGCTGTACTGTGTTGGATGACAGTAATCACTGATGGGCAGTACACCCAGGGCATTCCCTGAAGTGGCTCCTGGTAACCGTCCTGGGTCCTACAATGAGAGGCTTCATGCTGCTCAGTGGGCTGTGACTTTCTGTGCACATGGGCCTGCCTTGCTGAGCTCCTTTCCCAACTCCCTCATCA